TGTGGTCGAATCGCCTCCTATTACAGTCGCCTCCTAAACACAGTCGCCCTAGGCAGTGCGCCAGTGCAGCGGTCAGAATCAGGCTATTTATGCTATTTATATGTTTGTAAATATAAGAGAAAGTTTCATTCTTTCTGTTATATTGTTGTCCACCTTCTTCAAGATAACTCTTTTGTGCTTAAGTATAATTTAATAAACGTTTCATTTTATTTTTTTTTGACAGCAATCTTACTTTCAAACAACACATTAGTAATATTTGTAAGTCTGCTTCCTTTGGTATATATAAGATCAGTAGAATCAGGAGGCTACTTGACCGACCCACAACTTCAAAATTAGTCCATGCTTTTGTCTCGACCCATATCGATTACTGTAATTCTTCTCTTTCTGGCCTCCCTCAGTCACATCTAGCCCCACTTCAAAGGGTACAGAATAGCGCTGCTCGGCTTGTGACTCTCTCGCGTAAATCAGAGCACATAACTCCAATATTGAACTCACTACATTGGCTTAAAATTCACCACCACATATCCTTCAAAATTCTTCTCCTGTGCTACAAAGCTATCAATGGCTTAGCCCCCTCTTACCTTTCCGATCTCATATCCTTACGTTCCCGTACGTCGTCACGAACACTTCGTTCATCTTCCACATTACTGTTAACACCTGGACCCCGCACTAACACCCGGTATGGTGACCGCGCCTTTTCAGTTATTGCCCCCGCTCTCTGGAACAAACTGCCCGCCTTTATTCACTGCGCCCCCTCTGTATCTCAATTCAAATCTCTACTCAAAACCTATCTTTTCAAATTGTAAATTGCAATTGCAGTTGTGCGTCGGTCAATGGAGGTGCGCACCATATTTGTCTTTATTTAGTTGATTGCCACTGTTTTTCTTACCTTATCTATGTTACTTTTGTATTTTTGCTTTTTCTTCTAATTTAATTCTACGGGTTATAGTCTTCTCTTAATCAGAACACTGTGCGCTTAGAAACATCAGTATTAAGCGCCTAATAAATGTTATGTATTATTATTATTATTATTATTATTTTGATGCAACAGAGATTTACATTCAAAAGTTTATTTGTTATAAGTAAGTATTGTATACAGTAATATTCTTCTCATTTCGACATTATCAGCCGCTTGTTCTCTATTTCGTTCCCTATACTAAATATAAGGTATAATTATGTGAGGAGGGGGGGGGGGGGTAGAAATTTGGACGTAGCCTGTATACTGTATTTATTATATTTGTCTCTCCGATCACCCCCCCCCCCCTCCCCCAGTGGCTCTGAATTTGTTCTTTAGTTAGTCTCTGTTGGTTTGATCATATCTTTTCGCTAAAGTATAATGTCCGACGTATAACATCAGGAATATGTTATGATAATTAATCTCAAGGAAGGGATGATGCCCGGCATACAAGCAAATGGCGGAACAGACAACATTATGAAAGATGAAGATGGACATAGACAGAGAGGGGGAGAGAGAAGGGGAGGAGGGTGGCGGGTAGATAGAAAATAAATTGGACGCAGTCTGTACTGTATTTATTATTATGATATTTTTCTCACCGACTCCCCCCCCCCCCCCCCCCCCCCCCCCCCCAGCTCAGATTTTGTTTTTCTCTTTTTTTGTTTGTTTATAATAATGTCCGACGTATACCGTCAATGAAGCATAATAAACATTTTTTGTTTAGATATCAGTTTGATGCAACAGAGATTTACATTCAAAAGTTTTACTGTTTATAATATTACAGTAATATTCTTTATGCTATTTATAAATTATGTTTGTAAATAAAAGAGAAAGTTTCATTCTTTCTCTTTTTATGTTGTCCACCTTCTTCTAGATAACTATTTTGTGCTTAAGTATAATGTAATAAACGTTTCATTTTATTTTGATGCAACAGAGATTTACATTCAAAAGTTTTACTTTTTATAAGTATTGTACAGTAATATTCTTCTCATTTCGACATTATCAGCCACTCGTTTTCTATAGCGTTTCCTAAAATAAATATAAGGTATACTGTGCATGCACATCATCAGGGATATGTTATAATAATTAATCTCAAGGAAGGGATGCTGCCGGCGTACAAGCAAATGGAGGAATAGAAAACATTATGAAAGATGAACATGGAAAACGACATTGACAGATAGAGGGAGAGAGAGAAATAGGGCGACAGAGAGAGAGAGAGAGAGAGAGAAAGAGGGGGGGGGGGGGGGGTGAGAGATAGAAAGTTGGACGTAGTCTGTACTGTGTCTATTATTATGATTTTTGTCTTTGTCACTCCGATCCCCCCCCCCCCCAAGCTCTGATTTTATTCTTTAGTCCGTCTCTTTTTTGTTTGATTATATCGTTTCGCTAAAGTACAATGTCCGACGTATAGTAGTACCGTCATATATTAATAAACATTTTTTTAATATCAATTTGATGCAACAGAGATTTACATTCAAACTTTGACTTTGTATATTATTATTGTACAGTATACATTCTTCCCTTTTCGGCATTATCAGCCGCTCGTTTTCTATTTCGTTCCCTATAATAAATATACGGTATATATTTGTACATCATCAGGGATAATGTTATAATAATTAAGCTCAAAGAAGGAATGTCGCCGGCATACAAGCAAATGGTGAAACAACATTGGCAGATAGACAGAGAGAGAGACATACAGAGAAAGCGAGCGAGAGATAGATGGAGAAAGAGAGAGAGGGAGGGGGACATAAAGAGAGAGAAAAAGAGAGAGAAACAATCATTTTTCATAATCATGTTTTCTGTGACATTTTTCTGTGAACAACATTGGCAGATAGACAGAGAGAGAGACAGAGTGAGAAAGAAAGAGAGAGCGGGGGGGGGGGGGGGGGGTTAGAAAGTTGGACGTATAGTCTGTACTGTATTTATTATTATGCTAGTTCTCTCTCCCCCCCCCCCCTTCCGAATGTTTCTTTGGTTTCTTTCTTTTTGTTTGTTTATATCTTTTCGCTAAATTATAAAGTCCGACCAAGGAGTTATCTCCTTCGTCCGACGTATATACTGTCAACAAATATTTTTTTCATATTAATTGTATGCAAAAGAGATGCTTTTATATCCTAACTTTTACTTTATAATAATTTATTATTGTACAGTAATATTCTTCTCATTTCGATATCAGCCGTTCGTTCCGGGTTTCTTTTCTTCTTCATTTAAAAATTATTGTATAATATTTTTTCTCAAAATCGGAAGAAATAATTTCGGTATAAAAACAAAAAGCGGAACAAAAAGCAGTACGAGAGATAACAGGCGCGGATCCAGGAATTTCTTGCCGGGGGGGGCACACGGGGGGGGGGGGCACCGTGTGGGAAAGAGAACATATATATTTTTTTTTTAGTCCCCCAAAAATCGCAACGACTCAGCCGGCCGCTGAATAAGCGGGGGGGGGGGGGGGGGGGGTAAGAGGACACAAAAAAAAATTTGGCCGGGGGGGGGGGGCACGCCCCTGTTTTTCAGTATATTTTGGGCGAATTTAGGGCTGATTTTAACATATTTTTTTGGCCGGGGGCGCGTGCCCCCTGTGCCCCCCCCCCCTTGGATCCGCCACTGGATAAAGATGGAAAATGGCGTTGAGAGAGCGAGCGAGCGAGAGAGAAGCAAACATTTCCCCTATCATTTTTCATCTGTGACAATATACTTAATCTCATCCTCTTGTTTATTCCTTTATCTTTGCATGATTGTAATATCTTTGAATGAATATTTTAGATAGGGTTAAATCTGGCTATGCGTTATATGATTAACAATTCTTATTGAGGAGTATGTCGAAACGTGCTTTCGAAAATCGCCAAACAGAAGACAGTATGCTATCAAATACTGTCAAAACACATACATAAACACACAAATTGTATGCATAAATTAAATGTATTAATCCCAGATGCAAATCAGAAGCTGTATTGAAAAAAACCTTCGCTCATGTTGTTGTTTGTCTGTGTTACTGTTAACAGCGTTGTGGTGTACTCTGTTAGCGTTTGTTGTTAATTACAAAAAAATCTATGATAACTTGATAACCCAATCTTACCATAAAAGAATTTCTTACATTTTAATGAATTTTATTGCCATACATTACCTATCAAATACTGTCAAAACACATACATAAAAACAAGTTTATAGGCCTACATTAATCCTAGAATGGGCCAGATGCAAATAAGTAGCTTCGCTCGATCATGTTGTTTTTTGTGTGTGTGTCTGTGTTGGATTTGGGGTGTGTTGTTTACAAAAATAACGCCGGTGCGAGTGGGCGGTTGTACGGCCAGTACATGCAGGTGCAGGCTAGGTCGCAGCAGCGCTGACTTCCCAATGAATAATTCAATAGTCTAAGAGTTGAAATGTAGCTGTTTCAAAATTCAACTTTTAACAACTTTTCACTGTGAGAACACTTTCTTTCATTACAAATACAGAAAATATGGTTGTATTCAAGTTTATTTTACATCCATAAGCTCCGTCACTAGAGCTAAGCCAGTGGTCAGTGGAGTCAGAACGAGCGATGTGGTAGTACCAGTACGTAAAGCTGGTGGAAACTTAGATGCAAATATCCTCGAAAATATGCAGTTACGAGGAAAATTTTCAATATTTAGTGATAACAAATTAATAACATAGTACTGAGATACAAGGAACTAAAAATGGCTTGACTTTGAACTTGTAAAATACATCAAATTAAAACAACAAATTAGGGGGCGAGATGACCAAAAAACTGGGGGCGAGCTGACCAAGAATCCCAAAATCGGCAAAAAAAATCGGGAGGCGACATGACCAATTGGGGGCGACTTTGTAAGGGGGCGGGCTGACATTGGGCGACTTGACATGGGCATGTATCGCATCAGCATCATCGGTATTCTAACTATTTAGTTAGTCATCTATTAGAAAGATAGTTTGTCTATAGATCTACTGGTTGTTTGTCTCTTGCTGCCTTTGAAAACTTACAAGTCATCTATCGGACTAGAGACTATCGTCTATTAACTCTATCGTTATACAAAACTGAAGTAACATAATAACGTTTGTTGCTGCAATTATTGCTCCGTATACCACCGCCGGTAGCTAGCTAGCTGGGATAGTAGCGCGGCTATAGTGCTCGCACACGGAGCTAGCTGTAACGCACATTTACATACTGTACACAATCAGCTCAGATAAAATGTTGGTGTGGTGATAGGATTAGCCGAGCCTTAGGAGCGTTATCTTTTTTCTGCTTTACTACAGCTTATTCTACATACAAGGTGGACTTCCTCTGGAGCAAGTACGGGTTCTTGGCATCGCCCATTCGAGATTGTTTTGCCTTTGACCTTTGTGTGTTCAACTTTAAGATGATGCGGGCATGCATTACAGTTTACACTAAAGCTACAGCTACAGTTACACAGTGGTCGATGGTCTTGACTCATCAAAATACAGTTAGCCTCAGATCACGCTAATTAGCTCAGTCAGTACTCCAGTTCATTGGGATCTTGCCATCTAACTAACTCACTGGACAACTTTGCACATGACGAAACTCATGACCATTAAATCAATGTGAGACAGATGTTATCATCAACTTAATTGGATGTTACTTGTTTAGACTTGAGTCTGACAAGCTGCCTGTGCCGTATCGTGTACTTCGCTTCGCTTCGATCGTAGCGAGTTCATCCTGGTGAAGGAATCTTATAGACCTATGGCATGTTCTCAACCTCATCCTTTTTGTTCTTTCTTACATTCAAATGACGTAAATAGTCTTCATTCAAACTCAAAGTTGAATAGACTTGGCCACCGGATCTCAATCAAGTAGATCTGAATCTCTGTCATCAATCAAGTAATCATCAAAATGGATTCCAGTTCAAACATGAAACTCCCAGGACTGCCAGCGTTACCAAAAAGTTTGAGTGGACTTCTAAATGCTAACAGTGGAACTTGGCGCGAAACAGGTAGAATTTTAGCCCACCAAACGAATATACAAGACAGTCTTACTGCTGGATTTTCTCCAAGCCATGTCCATAAGAGTGGAGGAAGGAAAAAAAGGAAACGCATTGAAATACCAAGAGGAAATCTAGATGCTGCCTTGGCCTTGCTCCGCAAAGAGATGGTGAGAAAACAATTTATGAAATATAGAAAATTAAAATATGGAAGCTAAGGTCATTGCGTGTCTGGTGTTGGGCACTCTTCACAATAGTTATGAAATCAGATTTTATATACACCTGTATTAGATTTTTTTTACACTAATTCATCAAGTTGATATACATGTATGTAGGAGATGTATATAATTTCAAGGATTTTGTTTGAAATGACCTGTCAAAATCTGTTTACGGTACATAACGCATCATGTACTGTATTTGTATAATTCATTGTCGCTATGGATGTGCATTGCTGTACCAGTGAATTTTGGCCCTTTGAGCTTTTCGCAAACTTTAAAGGGATTGGGTAACTTTGTCTAGGATTCTGACACAAAATCCTGGATTTAGCTCATGCTGCCATGATAATTATAAACCTTTAGGTCAATCAGGAACCCCATGACTTTTACAAGCCGATCACCTGTCTGATTATAAATCAACGATTTTCATAACACTATGTACATTGTACAGTGTATTGGGGGAAATGAGTATGGTAAAACTGGTCACTCAATTTCTCAAAGATTTTTTACTTTTTTGAGGCACTTCATGATCATTTTGAGGCACAATTTTATTAGGGCTTCAATATTACACCATATCACAGTAACTAACCACACGTAGGGCCATGCTTCTCAGATTTAACATTTTTAAACGATGCCTTTAAAGGTAAAGACCAGTTATGGTCATGTGATTGCATTGTGAAAGAAACGTTGTGGAATCGATCAGAAAAGGTTGATCATCTAGCATCTAGCATCTGCAAGGTTCTGGAATCATCATAATGATAAGAAATTTGGCCCATTCTTCGTAAAGTTACAAGCACTATACACAGAAAGACGTATATGGGACTACCCTATATCTCTCACAGACCATGAGAGAAACAAATTTACCAAATATATGAATTAGTAGGCGGTTTCCCGGCAAATTTTGTATCATCATGTATTAGTCAAAACATATTCTTTCACATGATTGGTAATGAGAGCTTCCATTTCATTTTTTGAAATTGGGGTGTTTCCAATACTGGTCTTTACCTTTAAGAGAAGCTGGAAGCAAACAACAAAAAAGTATTTCATTTTTTTTTTTAAGATGTAGAAAACATGTAAATTTGCTTAATTTCATCTCCAGATTCCCCAGATTCTGAGTATGGACTGGAGTGATCCATAAATTAATGGCTTATTACACTGGATTAATTTGATATTTATGCAGAGCTTTTTGCAGACCATCTTTATTTTCCTGTATTCAATCTGATTTTGTTGTCAGGTTGGTCTACGTCAGCTGGATATGTCTCTTCTAAGTGAGCTTTATTCTCTTCATGAATCCATCCAAGATTATAAGTCTGATATGGAGAAGGTAGTTGATAGCTCTTTAGATCTGGACGCCGACGATTCTCAGCTCAGCCATCTATCAGCCCTTGATGAAGAACTACTAGAAGACTAATGATGGAGGAGTATAAACCTAGTCCAAATACTAGCCTAGATCTAGACCTAGGCCAGGATGATTGCCAACGAAATGAGCTCTTGGCAAAGTCATGAAGATAATGGAGATGAATCAGTCAGTGTTCCTTGTTTTGTTGTAAAGCTTTAGAATGCACTAGAGGATTAGAGCAAGGATGGAAATTGTATGATTCTGATTTTGAAAACCTAATAAAAGGTTGTTAGTGTCAGCCATCTAAATTTTCTTCTGTGATGTGAATTAGAAAAATTAGACATCATTTTTTAGGACATTTGGGACATGGTCATGGAGTATTATTAGGACATAGAACATTGATGGAGAAAAGTTGGAAATGGAAAGTTGTTTCAAGCACAGGTTCATGTACAGACAAATCAATGTAGAGGTGTATTTCATTCTGGGATATGTTCCGTCAATCCGCTGAGACTACATCCGGCTACACTGCATTCCTCCATTGGAAGGGGGCATCAAAAGACTATTTAAAAAAAATTAAAAGCAGACAGGTTTTTCTCTCTTTAGAAGTTTCATTAAATATGGACCTACTAAGACTTCTTGGTAGGTCCATGGTTTCATGCTGTATTTATAATATTATCAGATTTCTGAAATCATTCTGCATTTGTATAGCTTTTCTGTGTGCATGGCAATCTGGTTTTATAGAAACTCCAATTTGTTTCCTTTAAGTATTCAGACAATTCAGTTGTACTTTAAGTATCCGTTTCATGTATGTAAGGAATATGGCTTTTACCCCCAAAATAGTTCTTTTACAGTTTTAGAAATGTTCTTGCCACCTCTGAAATTTGAGAACCCATCAAGTACAGTGACCTTACAGTCCAGTCACTTATGAAAGTTTAATGCTGATAACATCAGCCTTAACCCTCTTTAAAATATATTTGTCTCTTGATTGCATAATAATGTTATATAATTAGATTCACATGAGAGTCTGTTAACTTTGTTGGTCTGGTTTTAAACTTTGAGGTTACAGGATGTACATGTACAGTGTATCATAGTTGGGGACCATTCGGAGTGTGGACGTAGTCTTAAGTTATGAAATTTCAAGTACATATTTTTTATTTGAACCAAGGATAAATGCTGTTTTTCTGAGGAAACCTCATATCTTGCAGAAGCACAGGCCTTTGAATATCAACACTAATGACTTGTTTTTTGTTAATCAAAATGGTTAGCCCATGTAACTTTTCTCTCTCTCTCTCTCTCTCTCTATGAATTCTGAGTGTTGATGTGCGATGTATTTTCTAAAAGCTTCTCTCTTTTAGTAGGAGCATGGTACGTGTAAAAGGTTAGAACCCAGATCAAAAGAGCGTAATACTTTCTGCTTTTAGTAACTAACTGCCCTCTATGTATTTCACTGGATTTTGTTTAACATGCATGTAGATGTAGACTTTGTTGTAAGCTGTAAGTTGAATATGAAAATGATATATAATAGATTTATCATTCATTTTTACTCATATACATGTACATGTGTACATGTATCTTTATTGCAAACATTTTACATGTATCTTTATTGCGAGCATTTTTTGTTTCTTGCCAGTTCATATCACATTGTGCAAGAAAATGAGATTACTCATTGTTTGGGAAACGGTTGTTGGTAAGCCTGCTGGGCTTGAAAAACAATTTGTTTGTGCCTTGCCGAGTGGTTTTATTTAATAAAAAACTAAGTTGAATGTATCATTTAGAATCAAAATAAAGAAATGATATATAAACTGAAGCACAAACATTAATTATATGTTAATGACAATCAAATTAGAATGCTAACAAGAGAGTTCAAGACTATCTAGATTCTCAGGAATTTGATGTGCATTCTGTGTGAGATCAAATGTGTTTCTGTATTTCTTCAAAAGTACTGACTTTAAAGGGCAAGTCCACTCCAAAAATTACTTACTTTCAATAGAAGCAGAAAAATAAGATGAACCAATCAAAAAAAGTTTGAGCAAAATCGGATAACTGATAAGAAAGTTTTTAATGACATGAAAAACTTTAAAAGTCACTCATAAATCTGTGATGACAATGCCTTACTATCCACTAATTATTTTCTTTATATAGATAGTGTAAATTTCCAATTTTCCCCCTGAAAATCTGATTTCCTCACACCAGCATCCAAGTTAAATTGATAGTAATATGTTTGTGTGTGGATGCACTATTAAATAGAGTAATTTTGTTCAGTTAAATCATGAAAAATTTGAATTTTGATAAAATTTTTATATAAAAATAAATGATTATGAATACCTGTATACAATATTCAGAGATGGTATCAATTCTTCAAAGTTCATAAAAGATTTTGTGAAATGTCATGCACGCAATATGATACAAATCATATCTGGGGGCAAAGGCATGGGAAAATCAATTTTGGGGGGATAAAAAGGAAAATTAAAACAAGGCTATCAATAAATAGTTATAGTTAGGCAATGACGTCACAATTTGATAATCAAATCAAAATAAGTTCCACAGTTTTTCATACTTTTTTTGCTCTCACTCTGTTTCTCTTTGTTTTCTGCCTCTATTAAAAGCAAATTGTTTTTGGAGTGCACTCAGCCTTTAACAAGTCGTCAACAGTATTAAAAATGTGAGTACATTGTATTTGTTAATATGAACTTGCCAGTTGGTGTTTATATACCGTAACTGTTTTATGTTTTAATGGAAACTGAATAGTTTGTTACATGTTTACTTTTTTAAGAAAAGAAAGTATCTTTAACATTTTTGTAAATTTGTCATGCATTTGAATGTATAATTAATAAAACAGCACCATCCCATCTAGCAATCTTTTACAATCAATCTACCCATTCTGTTCATTTAGTTGTGAGACGGAACAAACTGAAATCCTGTATAAATGTGCAGTATGTTTGTTCAACTCATTTGGTCAGTCAGTAGGATAATTCTTGCCAAGTATTGTGTGGAATGATAAGATTGCAATAGGTAGCCCGTGGACAGTATTTAATTTCTGGATTAGGGAAGTTGGCATCAGGAAGGAGATGAATATAACATAAACAGGAAATGTGTCATGTATTATGATTTTTGTGCAATGTCACATGTTGGCTGAAACAATCAAATATTATGTACAGGGTATAATCAATTACAATAACCTGGACAGAAAAAAATGATATCCAGATAACGTGGTTACATGTGTATTAGTCCATTGTGATGGTAACAATCCACATTTCTACTTTCATTCAGTTATGAAATATTGAAGAAAAAAATTGATAAATGGAAAACAAACAAATGTATTACCATGCTGCCTTTATTACTTGAATATTTGATGTGAAAAACATTTATCAGGAAATCTTCACATAGGGTACAACTATCAACTTCTCTTTCTCTTGCCAACACGTTCTGGGTTTTAATGATTATGCCAGGAAATGTGCATCACTCTATATCAATAGAGTTGTACATGTACTTCAATGTCTGATTAGATGTTTGTATCTAATGTATGGTGTAAGGAAGATAGTTTTGTGTTGTGCTAATTGATGGGTAAATATGATTCTGCCTCTCATTAAAGTAATCAAATGTGCCTTTTTCTGTATGAATTTAATTTGTTTCATGTATAGATGTGATATAGCCATGTTCTTTGTAATTGATATCTGCAGTACTTTAGTGAGTAGAATCTTTTTGTCAGTCCATCTCTACATAAATATATGTCTGGCTCTCTTCCTCTTCTAACTTGTCCACCCCACCCTTCTCTCTCTCTCTCTCTCTCTGTCTACAAGGTACAAATACGACCTATATTTGTAGCTCAATATTTGTAGAGACATAATAGCGTGTGCAATGCCATGTTAGACACGTCAAGTTTCTGTTTCATAGGTCATGTGGTTCAATTACATCATGTCTACATACCAATCAAGGTATGAAGTGCCAGCCAGGCAGGCAGGCAGGCAGGCATCATAAGCTTGAGGACTTTATCATCTCATTTTGTTCTAGTTTACATTAAAGTATGATCATGTGCCATAGTATTATAAGTATGAATAACAAACATATTAAACTTAATTGCCAAGTATTCTTTTGCCTTTTGTAAAGATTTGTTTACAATGCATGTGCATCCAAAGTAATGTTAAGCAAATGATTCTCTGCACCTTTTGTTTAAATCTCGATATTGTCAACTTTGTAATTCTTCCTTACATTTTCTAAGAAATATGACAATATTAGCTTGCATAAACAATTAATATTTCTGTTTTGGAAACATTTTTTCTTCATCTCACCCTTGTGAATACTGACATGTATTCTTTGTAACTAAATTGCTGTAAGGTAGCTCATTTCATTATATTTGGGGGGATCTAATTTCATCTTGAATTAGCCAAAGAAGCTTTACTTACTGCACAGATTACTAAAATCCTACCTTTTTTTCCTTCTTTTTAGAATGGTGACAGATCTCCTGATTTTTTAACCTGAAAATCTAATGCAAAATTGCACCATAAAAATCAGTACTGTGTTTAGCTCAAAATAGTTATGGTGTATTGTACATGTAGTCATGTACCTGCTAATAAATTATGTAAATGTCAGTGTGTTTATTATATGAGCTTCAATACTCAGCATGTTGCTAGATATCTTTACCAACACCTGATGATATCTTTGTAATAAGGGAAGAAGTATTAGTATCATACTCGTATACATTCAATGAGTGAAAGCTAATAGTGACTCGATTCAGATTAACCTCTAGATGTGATGTAGTTTATGATTGCAGTACTAATGTATCCTTCACAACTCTGCCTTATTGTGTTCATACAAGGTACTACCTTGGAAATAAATACATTCATTTGAAGCACTATATATTCATTAATTGTGTGACTTTATCAGTTATTTTGTGTGAGGAATTAAACTAATTTTAAACATTGGAGATAATTACAAGAGGTTTATAGTCCAGTGGAGACATCAGGGAGATGTGATTGTTGAGCAAGGAGAGATAGAAGGATGGAGACAAAGTGCACACTGCATTTGTGTACTTGCACATTTACCATGGACCTTCGCAAGAGTCCCAGTAGTGTTACAGTGTAACACTTTACACTTGAACAATACCTTATGTCACTAGAAAGAAAGAAACAAAATTGAATGGGAGAGAAGAGAAAACTGAGAAGCTTGTTTTTTGTAAAGCGCAAGAAAGAGAAACTGAGAACAATTAAAGAGACGGAGACAGAGGGCAGAGATTGACTAAGGAGAATGAAAAGGACGAGAAAAAAGAGGGGGAAAAAAACTGATATGAGGGAAAGAAAGAGACTAGCTGATTATTCTTCTTCCAAATGCTAAACATGCAATAAAGGGTAATGCATCAATCATTGGTTGTTTATATTCTGCCAAGGTAAACTTTTGAACAAAGAGTTCTGGAAATTTGCCTGTTAAAATATTGTCTCCACATTCCTCTCTTTCTATTAAATTCTGATGTTCCCAACAGCACTGTATTCCATTCTCTAGTTAGCAACTTAGCAAATAAAATCCTCCCTAGTTTGGTACTTACTGATAAGGTTGTTAGTAAGGTTTTATGAATGCCTCTTTAAGACTTCCAGTGCTGCACAAAGAATTATGTAAATGAATTATTTATTCCACCCACGTCTACTCCACAAGACGGCACACTATGGCGAGTTCCAACTAGTTGGGCAAGTTGGCTACTCCATAGCAATTTTAGTTGGCTACTAGAGCCTAGCTGGCAACTAGCTTAGTAAGGTTTTATGAATTTATATCTGAATCTAAATGAATAAATGCGAATATGGGCCCTGTTGTAAGGAAAGTGGACCCTTTGGTAACTTGTTCATTAATGTTTCGTTTCTTTCCCCTCCTCTGTTTCATATTATCTCTTTCTGCACTCTTTTGCTCTCGCTCTATCGCTCTCTTTGTTCGTCGTCCTTTTTTTTTCCTCCAATGTTTGTAGCTTCCTCTGGTGCTCTTCCAGGAGTTGGTGGGAAAGGCCCAATGGTCTTAGGAATTCCATTCTTTTTTTCCTTCCATGAAACTTGTGTGAAAGTGCAGCAGGGGAAGCCGAATCATTTGTTCTTACTGTATATCTCATATGACCTCATTGTATCGCTGTATTTGGAATACCGAATAAATACATATAATGATAATACCGGTAGTTCTATTCTTCTAGAAATCTTCAAAGGCCTATACAAGCCTCTTCCCGTATCTTCTTTTCAATCTCTTTCATTTTTTTCCATTTCTATCATTATCTTTGAGCACATCCTCTTACTCGCTCTCTCTTTCTCTCTCTCTCTTTCTCCCTCTCAATATTTTTTTTCTGCAGCTTTCACTTACTTTGACCATCAGTCTCAGTTAAATGTTGTTCTTATGGTATGTGTGTAACACAGCAGTGATTGACTATAATGTGTATGATCTACTACTGCCACTCATACAGGGGTTTACATTCATTCATTTCTAGCACAACTAAAGACAAAATTATCAAGTGCAATACCTAAACTGAGAAGATTATTCAAGATATCACAGTAACTGTTTGAACATGTGAGAGGGTTTCATGGGTACATGTACTATACTAAGATGTAGGAGAGAGAGGAATACAAAATATAATGAATGGTTATTAAACCTAACATGTCACACAAATGAATAGAATAAAACTGTCACTGATATTAACATGATAAATGTATTCTTCTCAAGTTTAATATTTACATTCCATGTCTTGAGCAATTGTTCATGAAGACAAATACAGCAATTCTTTCTCTTTAGATTTTATTTATCATTTTAATTTAATGTAATAATTATTTTTCAAAAGCAATCAAAACAATCATGTACATCTTGTTATTTCATTTCAGTGCACCCCTCCCCCCTCCCCCTATAACGTACGAAAGAAGCTACATTTACACTGCAGTAAAATTATCTCACAAATATGGTGTTCTCGATCATCAGTAGTTGCTAAGCAACTGCCTGCAAATAACGAACAAACAAAATTGAAAAATTATCCTCTGGAGTGTGGCTTTTTTTTAAATACCAGCAGAAAATTCAGATTTTTGCAGTGTAAATGCTCGCTCTCAAAACTTTTATAAATGATTCTGGTATTAGGTCACGTGACTCTCCTCACTACCGTTTGTTAGCATGTATAGAGCAGCATTATACTCACACAAAAACTAATAAGATAGAGCAAACACCAATGTCTTTTAGGCTCTTTTCTAGTAGTGTAAATAGCAGTCTACAAAACAATGATTTATCAAAATGGTGTTTGGGATGCGTAAATGGTCCTGGTGAGGCTTTTTTTTAACCTCTGTGACCTTCCACAATATTTGAGGTTTGGGTAATAAAAAGGGCATGCAGGTATCGAACTTGATGAACTGTTAATTCTCATTTTGTATTGTGTATGCTAGAGCACCAATGTGCAAAATATTTTACATTCTCCACATATTCCATATATTTTGAGCACAACAGTCATCAAGCAAATCCCTCTAATTGTTTACAAAGTAGCCATTGGAGCAATACAATACACATAACATTAATGTATGTTACGTACACATTCACAACAATTACAAAGACATGTAGTTTTATACAAATATCAACAACAGTCAAAAGAAAGTTCTTTCACCAATTCAACTGATGTCATGAATTCATTTAACTAACCATGTAAAACCAGTTTTCCTTTTGAGGCCAAAAATCTAAAATAAAGCTTACTGCTTCACCAGATTTTCCCCAGAGAATTCATGCACCTCTTTGATATTGATACTTTTAATAAAGAGTGATAGATAAAAACTGCACATGTGCATGTTATGGACTATTAATAGTAAAAACTACATGTGTAATGTAGAAAACAGACATCATCATGATGGTTTTATACATTATCAATCTACACATAATCATTCAACAAGTGGATCATTAATTTATCATTTGAGGTATATGAATATTGCTACTGTAGAATGTGCATGTGGCTCTCTTGTGCTTACAATGATTCATGTTTGAAAGACCACAGGCTGGAAATTCTTTAAATCACAAAATCCTGATCAAATAGAAAAATATCTTAAAATTTACAAATATTTTCTGATAAAAACTTGCATATCTTACAAACTTTGGAATTCAGTTGTCGCTGTCTACATTATAAATATTTACATATCTTGAAGCATAATATACGCCCACATGAATCAATCTTAGCTAGACCGATGATTCTGGATGGAATTAGGCATGCATGATAGACTTTTCTTCTTCATAAAACAATATATACATGTATAGTTCATCTGATATATCAAATTCTAATGGTCTTTTTAAACATGTCAAAAATATGCTAGCTTTGTATAAAAAGATAGAATCATATGATTTACATTGTTTCAGTGCAGCATATGAAGACACTGTTGAATCAAATTATCACCTAAATCATCTAACCATTGCATAACAAATCACACACCATGGATCCTATTAATTGCATACTTTCATAAAATATTCACTATAAATATACAACTATATAAGAGTGTAAAATCACAAGTTTAAAAGCAAAAACTTACAAATATTATTGATAAATATACATTTCATTCTTCAAATAAAAACTCATTATGTTTTATGTCTTATGTCATGACCTTAAAGGAAACCTCGCCCTAAGAAATAACTTTACTTATTCTGAGAGATTTATTATATTCTTGCCTATTAATCTAATTACCCACCAAATTATATGAGAGAGGCATAAAGCAAGAATAATGTACAGTTTCTCAGCACGTCATGGGCATCACCATGTTTTTATAATAACCCGACGTACTTTGTGAAGTCGTTTATCAAGTCAATGTATTTAAATGAATGGATACCTCCTTCCCAGGTGTGTGTGGTGATGAAGCATTTCATTCACCTGCTATTATCCTTTGTACTACTATTGCCAGAACGTAAATTGCATAAATAAGTTGGTGCTCTTCTGGGGTGCAGATTTCTCATAAATAAAATAGATTTGTCAACTGCTATATTTTAGTATTTTTAAGTGAATTAGTAAGTATTGTTCTCCTGTTATATATTTTTAACCAAATATGATTTCTATCTTCCCAGCTTTGATTTTTCGTCATTTACAATTTTAGAAATCATGCAATATAACCATTGGCAGATGCACAGGGACACAGAGACATGAGCACACCTAAAGTACATGCTTAAAAGCCATATTAGTCCAGCAAACGCTCCTCAAAAATGTGATAAACTTGTATCCTTTTTATTTTTTTCCTTCTCAAAAAGAGGCACATCAAAGATGTGACGACTTTCTTATTGGGAAGGGGGACTATTTAAGGGCTAGTGCCCCCCCCCCCCAGCAAACGAACCCTGGATCTGCCACTGAGGACAATGCAATTCAGAAGGATTAAACATTGTGAATGCCAATGAACATATGCATTATGTATTGATAGCACTTGCAACTTGAATTGCCCACAGCATATTCAAATACAAAAAATTTATTTGATGGAAGATCTGCTAGACTTGTTCTTCTGCAGTGGCTGCTTTCTCTGTCTCATCTGAAGATCTATTTTACGAAAACAAACAAATGAAAATGCTTAACATAACTTATTGCATCAATTCTAGATGAAAAAAAACTATGAAGATTATGAATACACACATGACAATATAAAGACAAATAATTCAAACATATAATGATCTGTAAAGCAATCATAACAACAATAATGACCAAAAAAAATATACAAAAGAACCAAATAAAGTGAGAAAGGCCCCTATAAACCTATAGGGGCACTTTTCCACATCATTTGTGGTTTACTAAAGCCTTGATGTTATTGAAGTCTTATCCAGACTTGGCTTCATTTAATGCCAAGATCTGCTAACCCCCTGCATAGTTCATACTGAAGCTCAGCAAAATGATGAGATACCGCCTCAAAAGTGAAAATTAATACTGTCAAATGTATGCATCGGAAATCTCAGCAGAATTTTTTGAAAATTAAAAATAGATGGTATTTTTTTAAATTAACCAACCAAAACAATTGAACAATTGTTAACTGTATAGCCCAAATTTGCGTGAAGTTATGACTGGTAGAAGTTCATTGAAGCGTGTACAAAACCTTTTTTTTACACAAAAAGGATTCAAACTTCCAAAAAGTATTGCAAATAACTGTTGGTTTTATATCGAGTCTAAATTTCAATGGGTATTTCTGTAAAGAGGACAATTCAAATTTAATTTCCTTTTTCTACCAGTGAAATAGACCAAATATTTAAAAAGGGATGGCCTGAGAAATCCTAAAATGTATGGTTTTGAGTACGTTTTCAACACATTCTGAGGCAATTTTTGAGACATTTGCTTAAGTGAAAATTAGGTTTCCATATATGATAAAGTAATTAGTAATTAGTCTTACCCAGACTTAGCTTCATCCATGCCAAGATCTCCTGATGCCTTGATGTTATTAGACTGAAGAAACTTAGTTGCCCAAGATGGCATCTCTCCATTCTTTGTCTGTTCCTTGTTTCTTTTCTTCTTCAACTCCTTGGGTAATGCAGGCTTTTCAACTGTCAGAGTGTCTGTATAGATACCGGAAGTCAAAGATTCTATTATTACTTTCACCCTTTTCAAACATTACTAAGTCTGTTTAAACAGTCAAGATTGCCCTCACACTTTTTAATTGTCACTGTCTGTATAGAAAATCAAAAATGTTATTAGTATCTGTTTCTGTCCTTACAGCACAGGCATTTATAGTTATATCAACTCTGCTTATATATGCAATATGACATAATTCTTGTTGGCGAAACCAATAACTGTATTTTTCATATTTACCTGGTCTCTAAAACTCTATTTGCTCAAAATCTTATCATACTTTTTCAGACATATTATGTGCCATTATACAAGTCACTCCTAGATCATGATCAAACGTTTGGTTGAAGTTGAACACACATGATTAATTTATTAAGACACACAAATTTTTCATTAAAAAGTATGCAACTCTTTCCAGTACTATCAAACAATCTGCCTTACACACTGCAGCAGTGGAAATGTACATGTAAGTGTACATTCCTGTACATTAAAGAATCACATAATCACCCTCAATTAATCTGATAATAAACGTAAATGTATATTGATTATACATGTACCTACATTACATAAAATGTTATATTAATAATGATGATATATAAAAAAAAAAAAAAATAATTTAAAACCAATATACTCAACCAAAATTAATATCTTCACACCTCCATCCGTATAATCTTCAATATTTGTAAGGACAATGAAATAGATGCACAATACCTGAGAAACTAATGTTGTGAGTAGACACATCAAGTAGACACAAAAAATATTTTAATTACTGTCATTCAACTGAGGATCAACAAATACAACATCAAATCAAACAAAACATATTTTCCCCTGTATTTTGTGAAGATTGATAGATGATGACAAATGATTAAACGGTTATACATACAAATACAATTATGAAGATGACAACACTATACAATTAATGTGATGAAGACAAGTACACAATGATTAGTATTTCCATGGCACCTTTATTCCACAGTACAAGAAGTTATTTACTTGAAAAGAAAAAATGCATTTGGCATATGATTAGAGAGTGGTGATAGAAAGAAAGCAGTGTGTATTTAAGGACCAGAACTAAGTCAAACTGAGTTGCCTGATCCATAGTGAGCAGGGTAGAGGCATTGAGAATATAACTTACTTTCAGTATCCCCTTCGTTGCCACTATCACCTACAATGTGTTTGTAAAAATATAAGATGATGAAAAAATGAAACACAGCAAACTCTAAAAATGATTTGAATTAAAAGTTCTCAAACATTTTTCTAACTTCACAATACCTCTCCATCGATAATCTTTCATACTCCTCTATTGCCAACTTCTCTATAATTAAAAAGTTAGCATATCTCTAATCATTCATAACTCTCCTCTCTCCCTTTTCTCCTTCCCCCTTGTATCTTCCTTCCCTCTATCACACTCCTACATTGTATTGGAAAAATGTCACTATATATAAGCAGAATAAAACATATGTACATGTATCACATACAGAGCATGGCAATTACATGGTTTTAAAAAATCAGATCTTTCTCTAAGAAACACACAATACATGGTGAGCATGAAGCTTGAATGAATATGGAGACATAATAACTTCTTCAGACAGAATGTTTTAACTTTGGAATATAATTTAATCATGCATGAAATCAAAACTCACTGATCTGATTGGATGAAATATAAAATATAAAATGAATGTTCACATTGTCAGTTCGGAGCCATAAAGGCATTAACTCATATACTTTAACATAGAGTTAACGGCGTTCTGGCTCCAAACAGACGATATGTTCTATCTAATCTAACATTACTGCTCCCTTTCTGAAGACTGATATGATCGAAGCAAAGAGTGGAAAAGCTTTGTGATGATGAAGCAGTTACCATTGTATGCATGGTCATAAGTGATAACAATACAGAGAGAGAGAGGGGGGGGGGGGTAAAAAGAAGGGCGAGAAAGAGAAGAGGAATGAAGATTTATACCTCTATCTGGTTCTTCTGGTTCTTCTTCTTCTTCAATTATCTGTGGAATTGCCGGCGCATGCTGGACACTGATCTACATCAAACACAAAAGAAAACTAGAATATTGAGTCTCTTTGCTTCAATTTTGAAGCAATCCCATTTCATATAAATAGGGATTGATACATGAATTCAAAGTCAAAGCTCCAATGCTTTATCCAATGTGCTACATAATACATGAACAAAGCACATACAATACACGTATATACCTGACGGCTCTCAATTTTTTAATCCATTTGACTGCAAGCTTGTGTGAAGCTCTCTTTTTGCAAGATCAGTGTTCCTGTAGCTATTAATTCCCATTATTTCAAAACTGTTTTGTTATAATACCGTTAATGGTAACAAGGAAACATGGTATTATAAATTTGTGCTTCACTGATGACATAAGTATACCTATCAAAGATAATGTTTAGTAGCATTTCTATCATACATGAACTGAAGGACAATAGTACGTCTTTGGTTGATGAGTTAATGACAATACTTACTATAGGAGGAGGTGGAATGCTTCTGCTTGATGTAGGCTCACTCTCTTCCTCTATGCTCTCTGATCTATAATTATAAAGACAAACAAAACTTTATACAGTGTACATCATACCCATCATCATACATATAAACATATAATATATAAAGACTCAAATATATTACATAGAACAACATTATTTTTTAACAATTTAAAGAGTAAATCCAAAACTAGGCAGTGAAGCAAGACATGAGACTGTTTCTCACCAATGAATCTTGAATTAATTTGGTTAATCAATATACTCCCTACACAGGTTCTAACAGACTCTCATCTACAATATTTTTGTTTTTTCTAAAAATGTCCAAGCAATCATATGCATCATGCACAACCAGTTTGCACAAAGAGCTCACTTGAATCTATACAGACAATAAATGCAATACTCACATAGCAGCTTGTCTCCGTAAATTCTGAAATAACAAAAATAATAAATAAGAGAGAAATATATAAATATATCCTCTTTTTTTAGGAGGGAGGGTTATCATAATACAGATTTAAAAGACAGTTTTATACAATCATCAATATTTCCTTCTGGTCTTCAAGTTCCAATGATGTACAGAGATAATGATCATATCTCTAGCACATAGAACACCCCCTCCTGCCACAGCATTATATATAATCTAAATTTACAACTACTGAGACATTATCTAACTCTAGTTACTAGAATCATATAGATATATGTCTATTCATAAAAGAGAGACGAACTGAGAAATAAAGAGGACCTAGCTCCCAAAGGGCAATACCAACTACCATAGGTTATAAGATAACAGTCCCTCTTTGAATTTGTACAGAAAATCATCATCTCTTTGTGTGCTTGTCCATTTATTAATTATCTGGATCCCTGGTCCATCTTATTTATGATATTTCATGTACAAATGACTACATACTCTTTGAGAGAGATACACAATACTTACACTTCCTAGACTCTGTGACTTGGATTTCATTGTGTGTTGTGATTTTAGAATCTTATTCAAGTCCTTCAGCTGTAAAAAGAGTATGATATAATAAATTTAATTTAATATTTGTCACTGCTATATATGTATGACTTGATACAATTTACACACAATGAAAGTTTGGAAATGATAAAGGCTAAATGCTTCTGTGGGATCCTTAATTATAATATTCTTCTTTCATTCTTTGACACTACATGTATCATTCTTACATCTATCCTAAAATGAATCAAAACAAGTTGAGAATTTTAACAATAGAACAATAACCCAGACTGTTAACACAAGAATTGTCATTTTGTTTGAATTCTAAGCCTGTTAACAAAATGCAAAAACCAAAAAAAGGTGCCAAAAAGCAACAACCGGTTTTCATAAATTATGTTCAAAAGAAACAGTTTGATGCATAAAATGGCTGAATCACAACTGACACAATAATGAATTTTTGCAATGTGTGACAGTTTCTTTCAACAAAAATGGCTGTCATATTCAAGATTGCTGAATTTCCTTATATCCAAATTGTTTTACAGGTAAAAGGGTTGTTTGTATTTGCACTATAGCACAAAATCTACGTTGGTCATGAAACATGTGTCCTCCTCCATCTTCTTCATCTTTAACTTTATCTTCTTCTTCTTCTTTTACTCCATCTTTTACTTTGTATGTTACTTCTTCTCCTTTTTCCTTTTCTCCTCCTTATTCTTCTTTGACTGAATCTCATGTCTTCATTAAAGTCCATACTTCTTTGAACATCAAGGTAGCTGGACCTACCTCTTGTGGGTTCATAACAGTGATATCTCCTAGAATCTCTTTCCTCCAGTTCCCTCCGGATGTATTCTTTAGTTTCAGCCTAGGTCTCTTTGTTGTTGAGTCTGTGCTGGTTATTGATCCTGCGGTTGACATCAATTTATCCTGGGTAGAATTCTGAAAAGAACAAGTGATTCGGAATTATGTGAGGATTTGATAGGGTACACACTCATTAGTGTTTGTAAAGAGTTGTTCTTGATTTAATAAATAAATTGTCACAGGTTTAAAAAACTGACATAGTTATACCCTTTTCACACCTGGGTTTTTGGAGAGCTACGACAGTTTTTAGCCCTGCAATTTCCAGGGCTAGATGTTAACCCGGATTAATTTACCAGGTGTGAAAACGCAATTTCTAAGCCCGGGGTATCTGAACCAGATGTGAAAAGGATAATACTAAGTAAGTTTGGTTCTAATGTCAGAAAAAAAGAAAGATTTTTGCTATATTGGAGAAAAAAAATCAAAACTCTACCTCAT